GATTCAAGAGGTTTCAGGTTGGGGCAAAGAGATGTCCCTTTTCGTTATCAAAGTACATTCTAAAATCTTGGTACCAAAAAGTAAAGCCACATATAGAAGCAGCAGAACATTTCATCGACCTCAAAGACATGCTATGACTTAAACCTATTTTCTCCACATTTTTATATTTAAATTATCCTTTTTCTTCTCAGACTTGTCTAACTCTCTCCCTAGAATTCCCTAGCTCCCTAGTATCTACTTTAGCTTTCGGTTAGGAATATGATTTGTTTTTGAGAGTCAAGAGGAGATCTGTGTATTTTACTAGATGTCAGAGCTGCCTGCTTTAATTCAAACTTTGTACAATCTTGGATCTCCCATTTTCTAATAAGGTTGCATTGATTAAATTAGACATAGGGCTTTTCTCTTCCACCTCCAGAATGAAAAAGAATCAATTTTAATATGTAGAAAATAAGCATTTCTCTATAGTTGTCAGGCTTGATTCCTACTTAGCTCAAACAATGTTAGGTATAAAAAGTCACTAACATGTCAAAAAATTCTTCTTTCCCCCTTTCCTAAATTACGTTGGATATGCTCAGACCAAAGCCTCAGGAACATAGTGAGCGTGGCAAGGGAAAACAAATAAACAAACAAATGGGCTCTTAATGCTAAGATGAATCCAGATCCTGGCTTTCCCTTTTCCAATCACTAGTCGGGTAAATTTGAACATCAGTTACCTTCTCTGGATTTCAGATTGTTCACCTTGATATGAACCAACTAGATTTGAAAATCTTTAAAGCAACTTTTAATACTAAATATCTCTATTCTATGTAAAGAAAATTACAAGTCTTAATGTTTATGAAAGCACTTGGCAGCGCAGTCCCATGGACATACTTCACCCTTTAAAAGACATGTGATTTGGATAGTTAAGTGTACACATTAACTCACCACGGCATATAAGCATTTTCGGATAGGAAGGTGGGAATAAGAAGATACAAGATCCACAGTTTCATCAGATCCTTAAACAGCTCTGACCTTGTAAAACATTTATAAAAGTAGATGTTAAATGTTTTTTTAAAAAAAATCTCCAAAAAGGCCAGGCATGGTGGCTCACACCTCTAATCCCGGCACTTTGGGAGGCCAAGGTGAGTGGATCAAGAGGTCAAGAGATGGAGATCATCCTGGCCAACATGGTGAAATCCTATTTCTACTAAAAATACAAAAATTAGCTGGGCATAGTGGCGTGCGCTTGTAGTCCCAGCTACTCAGGAGGCTGAGGCAGAAGAATCGCTTGAACCAGTGAGGTGGAGGTTGCAGTAAGCAGAGATTGTGTCACTGCACTCCAGCCTGGGTAAGGGAGCCAGACTCTGGCTCCAAAAAAAAAAAAAAGTCCCCAACGAATCTGCAGTTACTATTATTATAGTGTTTAACAGCTCAGGGAAGACGACTAATTTTGGTAAGACAGACAAACTGAATTACTATCCCTAACTTAACATCGGTTGGTGATTATGTAAGAAAATGCAAGAGGAAAGTGATAAGGATTATGCAGAGAGGCAGAAGATAAAACTAATGTGGCTTTGAAATGCGTTACTTTCATGTCAGATTTATTCTTCAAATTATGTGCTGCTTAGATAAGCATTATTTTTCTTTTCTTAAACACTTACAAAAGGATGACAGAAGATAGCCTAGAAAGGCACAACAGAAGGTAAATTTACTTAAAGACCTAAAAAAACACAAGCCAAGTCATGTCTATACTGGGATAGTAAAGCACGGCAGAACAAGGACGACTTGGGTCTTCTGAATGAAAGAACAAAAAATATAGTTAATATGGAGTTTCTAGAGCCAGACTGCCTTGATCCCAGCAAAGATTACAAACTATAACTGCTCACTAATTATATAGCTTGAAGCAAGATACTAAATTATTCTGGCCTCAGTTTCTTTACCTGTAAAATGTGCCACCAACAGTACTTATGGAAGTTTTGAGGCTTAAATGAGATATGGGAATTATAAACAATGCCTGGCATACATAAAGTAAAAATTCAGAAAAAAGGTTAGCTACAATTATTTCTCCTCTCTAAGGCTCTAAACCAAATTAGGATCTATGACTTTAAAGCAACTTTTAATGCTAAATATAATAATAAATAAGATCTACAGAAAAATCAAACTCCTTTTATCCAGTAGCTTCGACTGTCTCTTCCAAACTGGGCTGTAGTTTAAAAAGAACAGCTAGTTAGAAATAAAATTAGTTTATATATGGCTTTCCATCTTTAACTCCACAAACTCATTAGTAGAGGTAACAAGTGAGAAGAGGTAAAGGTGCTGGGGCGGCACTGGCTAGCAGAACCTTCTGTGATGACGGAACTATTCTACATATACACTGTCCAGTATGGTAGCCACTAGCGGCTACTAAGCACCTGAAATGTGGTCAGTGCTGAGAAAATGAATTTTTCTTTAATTTTAACTTAAATAGCTATAAGTAGCCGAATGCAGTGACTCACACCTATAATCCCAACACTTTGGGAGGCCGAGGCTGGAGAATAGCTTGAGCCCAGGAGTTTGAGACCAGCTTGGACAACATGATGAAACCCTGTCTCTATAAGAAATACAAAAACAAATTGGTCAGGCAGGCATGGTGGCAGTGCCTGCAGTCCCAGCAACTTGGGAGGCTGAAGTAGGAGGGCTGCCTGGGCCTGGTTGGTTGAGCCATGATCATGCCACTGCACTCCAGCCTGGGTGACAGAGCAAGACTCTGTCTCAAAAAAAATAGAATAAAACGAAATTTCAAAAAAGCTACATGTGAGACCTTACTGGATAGCAGGGCCCTAGATAATCCATAAGCTAAATAAGAATTGTCAGAAATTTAAGCAAAATAAGGATCTTCTTTTCCTGAATTGTTTTATAGGTTCAATTCAAATATCTTTGTTTCCGGTGTAGGCCTGGTAAGTTTGATTAGTAAAGAAATAACATGTCAGTTGATACATCAATATAGCGCAAATTCAGTGGTAATAAAAGGATCAGAGTTAAGTACGTGGTCCTCTGATATTTTAGAAGGTCCCTAAGGCCAAGTTAAATTCAAGCTCACACAAAGCATAATTCAGTACACAGCAGTACACAGATTAGAGCTGCAAAGGTCCTTGTCAGCATCTCTAAAGAAGCTGCTTCTCCTCTACCAAATGAAAAGCTACTTCTACAATGCAGACTGAGTATCTCTGCATTTATCTCAAATTTTTCTTCAAAAATTCATAGTTCTGTAAGCCTTTTCCCTCTTTCAGGAACACTGGTGATCCTGGCCATCTCAGCCTTTCCACTATAAACAAAACCCCTGTACCGCCCATATCTGGAGTATAACGCCAGACTCCTGCTTAGCTATCCCTGTAATATGGTTTAATTATGATGACTGAACTAATAGGCTGACATCATAGACTTTTACAGGCTGACCCCATGTCATCCTGATGTATCATTTTGCACCAGTTCAGTGCTGTAAATCAATTTAAGATCTCAAGCAGGTTGAAAAGCCTGGTAATGATGCTTTCTCTGCCGTCTCTGGAGACTCTACATTATTTATAAAGCCTCAGTGATGCTTCCATTAGCCTTGTAAGACTACACAAATGAGATCTGTTATACACACACTTGGCCTTGATTATGGAGGCTACTGCAGCTTAAACATGCTTGTCTAATTACACCCAAGTTACTTCTTTTTTCCAATCTACTAAGTTATTAGATTTTATCTTTAACCCAGAATTGCTAGAAATCGAAATTACAAAGTGAAATTTAGTTTTTAACTAACAAATGTAATAAATGCAGTTGAGAAAATGTGACTTACTTCCTCTTAATGCCTTACTAAACTTAATAGAAACAAAATTAAATTCCACAAAGTGTTAGAGGTCAACGTTTTTTTAATTGCCTAAAAACTGTCATTTCTCTAAAACACAAAGATCACCAGCTCTTCAAGGATATGAAACCAAAGGATACAGCAAGAGGAAAATGTATTTGGTTACATACCTATGGTTGTAGGGGTCAAAACTGAATCAAGGACAAATCCCTACCCTCAGAAGAAACCCGATCCTTCCTGGATCCTCTAGAGGCTCTGGCATCACCCACCTCCAGAAAAATCATCTCTCACGACCCTAGTTAAACTTTCCTAAGAATTGCAGTATTACACCACCAATGATACACCACCTGCACGGAAATATCAAATAACTGAAAATGGGAGAGTGGGAGAGGGCAGAACAAACACTTTAATCAGTACAGCGTATTTAGACCTGGCACCTACATCAGAATAACACTGATGCAACAATATTTATACCAATTGAAAATGCTGGGGCAGTAAACACTGGTTCTGCCCCGATTCTTTTTTAATACAGCTCACCTACCTTCAGTACAATTTAAAGAATTACAAACAAGATGAAAAATCAACATGGGCAGGGAACAGTTTTCTCATTGTGTTACTGAGATGCAGGCAAGTTGTCCGCAACAGGCAATTAGAGCCAAAGATGTTCTGAAATACAGGCATTCTGAGATTTAGCCGCTGAGAGTTCCAGCAACAGGAAGACAGAAATCATGCAACTTCTGTATCATTCCCCGTGCTTTGAAACTTCAGATGCAGTGCAAAGGAGAGAAAGCGGGGGAGGGGGAAGGACATAGAAAAAGGACAGTTGTCTCGGCACTCACGAAAATGATGCTTTCTCAGGAGATGGTTCGGAGATCGGTCTCAATTTTCAGAAACGCGTCTTTACTGGTTGTCTTGCACTGTGTATTTAAAAATTGCATTCGCTTCAAAATAAACAAAAGCGCAGCTACTGTAGTTGTGAGATCTGGCAGGCATTTGTTCCTCCTCCCCTCCTAACGCACATCAAGGAAACGCTCTCCCTTTAAAGCCTTCATACAGATTCAGCAACTAGAAAAACAAGCCCACGTCTGTCTCTCACGCCCACTACCCCCACCTTCCTACAGAAACAACCCCGAGAAACACTAACAAAGACAGGGAGCAGAGTAAAGGAACAGTTGTTCAACCGCGAACTCACGAATACACATGCAGTGAGGCAATCGACTGCGGTAAAGGGAAAGGAATGAGACACCAGGAGACGCAGCGGGTGTAGGCGGAAGAGGGGGAAAAAATTACGCGCCGCCGCCAAACCTTTGAATAAATTAGAGGGGATTTCGGTGCGAACTTTCCTTGACCTCGACGCCAAAGAGGCTCGCTAGGGCCGAGAAGTAAACCCGTGCGGGATGTGGAGGGGCCGGGGGCGCCCGGGTCCCCTGCCCGCGAGACCCGTTCCTTCAGGCGCCCGGCGGCCGTTCTCCAGTTCCCGCAGGGGTCGCCCCGCCGGCTCGGGGACACAATGGGCCCGTGGGCCGCGCGGACGGGCCTCGGCCCGGCTGCAGCACCGGAGAGATGTGAGGAGCGCGCGGAAAGGGAGCGCGGCTGGGGAGGTCCCGGCGCGGTCAGACCAGGGGGCCGAGGCTAGGGGGGCCGGGAACTCGGCTTCCCACAGCAGAAGACCCAACAAAGACACCGGGGGAGCCCGTCTGGCTGGGCGCGAGGAGAGGACGCAGTGGCAGGTTCGCTCCTCAGAGCGGCCGGGAGGCGCCATCATGGGGGGTGGGGGGGTCGCGGTCCGCCCCGCGCGGAAAGAGCCCCCTCCCCGCCGCCGCCGCCCGCGCCCCCGGCCCCGCAGGACCGCGGGGAGCCCACGCGTGCAGAGACGGCGGTGCTGGAAAGCCCGGGGCGCCAAGGGGAGGGCGGGGACGCAGCATGAAGGGAAACTTGGGTTCGGGTCTGTTTCGTTTTACCGGGTTGGCGGCGCGCCCATCCGCGCGGGGGCACGAGTGGCCGGGAGAGTGGGGTACCGCGGCCCCGGTCCGGCCGGCCGGGCGCTGCGCCGCGCTCCGCTCCCAGGGTCCCTCCCCGCGCCTCGGCCCGGGTCGAGCCGCTCGGCCTCTCCTTCCTCCGCCCGCCCGTCAGCCCGCTCTCTCCCGGAGCCTGGATTGATCTGGTCGCGCTGGCGTCAGGGAGTCGGAGCCGCCCAGCCTCCACTCCTCGGCTGCCAATGCCGGGCGCACTCGCCTGCCCGCCCGCCCGCTCACACGCTCACCCGCGCGCCGCCGCCGCTGCCGCGCGACCAGGGATCCTCTCCAAATTCCCGGCCCGGCCGGCGTGAGCTCAGCGCGGCCGGGGCTGGAGGACTGCGCGGGGGAGCGGCCCGAGTCACCCCCTTCCACCCCCAGCCCCACGCCCCGTTTATTCCTGGAGAAAAAACAGCGTGGCGGCGTTCTGGCTTTCCTAACCCTGTCTTCTTTAGTCCCGGTGGAGTGGATTGGTGCATTATCTGCAAGTGAATTTCGATGCTCCATGTGTTTATTTTCTGAAACGCTCATTAACTCTTCTGTAAACATGGAATGCATGTTGACAGTTATCTTTGGAGACTGGCCCTTTGATGTCTAGTTTTCATTGTCCGTTACTCACTCTCCAATAATTTGCAGGCCCCAGAAGTTGAACGTACCCAGCAGTGGTTAGCTAGTAACTACTGCACGTGCTTATACAAACCCTGAGTCAACAGATGGGTTTTGTGTCAACTCAGGATCCAATGATTCGAGTAGGTAACCTTGTTGCTCCAAATAGTAACATGCCACAAGGAGATACTGCTTTAGAACTCTACATTTTTGGTCCAGTTTCTAGTCTTTTAGATGATGCCAACACCCCGAAAACAAACTTAACTCTTACCTACGTGATCTGCATGGACATTGAAAATATCTTCTTGCAAAAGTCATAAAGCTGCGTAAAATCTTGGATAATTACCATAATGTTGAGTTACGTTTAGAAAAGAATAATTTTTTTGAGGAATAAATTTCACATGAAGCAAAAAACGTCACTCCCAGCCATGTGTATCGGTGTATCATTAATATATATCAATGTATATTAAATTCCTTTTTTCCTTAAACTATTTGAGCCCTTACTGGTCAGTTCGTGGACTTCATCTTATTTTCCCTAAAAGCAGCATTTGATGCAGTTGGTCATTCTCTGCTCCTTGGGACAACAGGAAAGTGAACCTTGCTAAATGCCACTCAGATTAGGCCACTCCCCTGTTGAAAACTCTCCCTTGATAAACAGTATGAAATATCCCATACAAGAGAACATTATTCAGCCATAAAAAGGAATGAAGTGCGGATACTGTTGCATGTGACCTGGATAACCTTTCAAAACATGTGGAGTGAAAGAAGATAACACAGTAAGACCACACATTGTATTCTTCCACATATCTGAAATGCTCAGAGTAGGCAAGGCTATGGACACAGAAAGTAGATTGTTGGTTTGCATAGGGTTGGGGAAATGAGGAACCTGGGGAGTGACAGCTAAAGGTCATGGGGTGACAAAATTGTTCTAAAATTAGTTTCTGGTGATGGTTGCACAGTTCTGTGGATATACCAAAAGCCATTGAATTGTACATTTTAAATGGGTCAATCATTTGATATGTGAATTTTCCTCAAGCTATTAAAAAAAAAGCATGACAGTGAAATGCAGTATATAACCTTGATTGGATCCTGAATGGGGAGGGGGAGCTATAAACTGATATTTTAAAGCTGTTACTTTTTTAAAAACCTATAGATGGCATTTATTTATTTATTTATTTATTTAATTTTGAGATGGAGTTTCTCTCTGTCGCCCAGCCTGGAGTGCAATGGCGTGCTCTCCACCTCCCGGGTTCAAGCAATTCTCCTGCCTTAGCTTCCCAAGTAGTTGGGATTACAGACACCCAGCACCACACTTGTCTAATTTTTGTATTTTTAGTAGAGACAGGGTTTCGCCATTTTGGCAAGGCTGTTCTTGAACTCCTGGCCTCAAGTGATCCACCCACCTTGGCCTCCCAAAGTGTTCAGATTACAAGCGTGACCCACCACTCTCAGCCTAGATGACCTTCCTTAGTGTAATTCTAGAGATCTTAAATGATATTTATTAATATTATGTATGCTATAAAATTTGATTTTGCCTGTTGTACAAGTTATTTCTTTACATGGTAATAAAAATTTGGATATTCTTTTTTAAAGGGTGTTGATGAGACCATTGTAAAAACATAAATATGGACTATATATTAACGGTATTGTATTAAATTTTTAAAAAATCCTCCCTTATGTCCCCATTTCACTCAAATTAAGTTTCCATAATGAGCCCAAGACCCTCCATAATCTTTCTTTTTTTTTTTCTTTTTTCTTTTTTTGGTGCCGTGACTCAGATACATAATCTTTCTTTCCCCTTCCTTTACCACTCTGATCTGCTCTTCTACTGTCCCTCTTGCTCCCTTCCCCAAGCCACACTGGTGTCCTCACTTTTCTGGAACAATCTGGGCACATTCTCACCTCAGTGTCTGTGTGCTAGCTGTTCCTTCCCTTTCTAAGTTCATTTTGTGTTGCTGGAATAGAATACCACTGATATAGTTTGGTTATGTGTCCCCACCCAAATCTTATCTTGAATTGTAGCTCCCATAACCCCCGTGCATCATGGAAGGGAACTGGTGAGAGGTAATTGAATCATGAGGGCGGGTTTTTCACATGCTGTTCTCGTGATAGTGAATAAGTCTCACGAGAATCTGATGGTTTTATAAAAGGCAGTTTCCCTGCACACATCCTCTTAAATGCCACCATGTAAGACATCTTTGCTCCTTTGCTCCTCCTTCACCTTCTGCCATAATTGTGAGGCTTCCCCAGCCATGCGAAACTGTGAATCCATTAAACGTTGTTTTCGTTTGTTTGTTTGTTGTTGTTTTTGAGACAATTTCACTCTGTCACCTGGCTGGGATGCAACCTCAGCTCACTGCAACCTCCACCTCCAGGGTTCAAGCAATTCTCCTGCCTTGGCCTCCCGAGTAGCTAGGACTACAGGCACATTCACTACAGCCAACTAATTTATTTTTGTATTTTTTAGTAGAGACGGGGTTTTGCCATGTTAGCCAGGCTGGTCTTGAACTCCTGACCTCAGGTGATCCACCCACCTAGGCCTCCCAAAATGCTGGGATTATAGGCATGAGCCTCTACACCCAGCCTAGTGGCTATGAATTTGAAGTAAGACCAGTCAGCGTGGTTGTGGGTCTTCTCCAGCCTCCCTCAACCTAAGGGGGCAGAGCTGAGTTTAGGGCTGAGGTTTTGTAGGTGTATGTCATGGAAGGAAATGGGATCAGACAGCAGAAGGTATAGGCAATGGAGTGACTGTGGGGGTCTTGATAGGAGGGAGGTGAGAACATATCGTAATGTGAGATGTTGGAAAAATTATAGGATCCACTGATTGAAGGTACTAGTGAGGTCCATGCATTACTGGAGTTGGGAAACTTTTCCAAAAGCTGGGGAGCAGTCTGGGAATGAGATACTTGAAATTGAAATCATAATGCTGGAGCAGTTTTGAGCAATGCCAAGATCTAGGAGTGTGACCAGAGACAGTGGATGGCTAAGGTAGAGAGGAAGACAAGATCCTCAAAGAAAAAAAGATTTTAAGGAACTGAAGACAAATTAATTATGCTATGTAATCAGTTTATCAGGAAAAAATCAGCTACTAATCACAATAAGAAGAGCCCTTTAAATTGGCTCCAAATTTTATATATGCAAAATGTAAATCCAAAAACCTGTTTTAAGAGATGATTCTACTCAAGAGAAAAATAAATGTAATGATTTATACTTCAGATCCCTCAGGGAATTTAAGTGACTCAGTTTTCCTGGAATGAGCCTGTCAAGGATCATTGGTGTGTTATTTTTCATATTAAAAGGAATGCTGGCCAGGCATGGTGGCTCATGCCTGTAATTCCAGCGCTTTGGGAGGCCAAGGTGGGCAGATCACTTAAGATCAGGAGTTTGAGACCAGCCTGGGCAACATGGTGAAACCCCACCTCTCCAAAAAATACAAAAATGTGGCCTGGTGTGGTGATCCATGCCTGTAGTCCCAGTGACTCGGGAGGCTGAGGTGGGAGGATGGATTGAGCCAGGGAGGTCCAGTCTGCAGTGAGCTGTGAGGGTGCCATTGCCGTCCAGCCTAGGCAAAAGAGCAGGACTCTGTTTTTTTAAATATGTGTGTGTGTGTGTGTGTGTGTGTGTGTGTGTGTATTAGTTGTTGTTGAAATCCTTTATTGTCTCCTCACACCCTTTACTCCAAAGAACTTATAGCTGTCTGTAATTATATATGTATTTCATTGTGTTGTCGAACATCCAGTGAGAAAATCTCACTGCTCTTCTAAGTAATATGTGGTGGGAGCCGTATCTAGTTTGTGTTCCCATCTCCAAGCCCAAAGTTTGCACAGACCTGTCATGGCAGACTCTCAAATATTTGCTGAAAGAATAAATCTCTAATACAACTATTGTGGTAAAATACAAATTGGTATTTTTTCTTAATTACAGCATACTTCATAGTAATCGTTCTCATTATTGCCCTCATATCTGACATTCAGATCTAATTATAAATAGTAGGAATTAATAAAGAGTTGTTAGCTCTTTTTCTAAGAGTTTTGTAACAGTCTATACATTACAAAGTTCCATGTGAAAATTCTATGGTAAACATTATGTTGACAGTAGAACTTTATATTTCAAGTTCCTGAAATTTGTCGAGTGATATGGTTTGGCTCTCTGTCCCCATCCAAATCTCATGTTGAATTGTAATCCCCACATATCAGGGGAGGGACCTGGTGGGAGGTGATTGGATCATAGGGGCAGATTTCCTTCATGCTGTTCTTGATAATGAGTGAGTTCCCATGAGATATGATAGTTTAAAAGTGTAGCACTTCCCCCTTTGCTCTCTCTCTCTCCTACTCCATGATAATAAGATGTCCTTGCTTCCCCTTCAACTTCCACTATAATTGTAAGTTTTCTGAGGCTTCCTAGCTTTGCTTCCTGTTTAGCCTGCAGAACTGTGAGTCAATTAAACCCCTTTTCTTCATAAATTATCCAGTCTCAGGTAGTTCTTTATAGCACTGTGAGAATGGACTAATACAGAACATTGGTACCAGGAAAGTGGGGGATTGCTATAAAGATACCTGAAAATGTGGAAGCGACTTTGGAACTGGGTAATGGGTGGAGGTTGGAACAGCTTGGCAGGCTCAGAAGACAGGAAGATGTGGGAAAGTTTGGAATTGATAGAGACTTGTTGAATGATTTTGACCAAAATGCTAATAGTGATATGGATAGTGAAGTCCAGGCTGAGGTGATCTCAGATAGAAATGAGAAACTTATTGGGAATCAGAATTCACTCTTGATATTCTTTAGCTAAGAAACTGGTGGCATTATGCCCTTGCTGTCGAGATCTTTGGACTTGATCTTGGAACTTTGAACTTGAAAGAGATGGTTTAGGGTATTTGGCAGAAGAAATTTTTTTTTTTTGAGACAGAGTCTCACTCTGTCACCAGGCGCCAGGCTGGAGTGCAGTGGCACAACCTCGGCTCACTGCAACCTCCACCTCCCAAGTTCAAGCAATTCTCCTGCCTCAGCCTCCCCAGTAGCTGGGACTACAGGCATGTGCCACCACGCACAGCTAATTTTTTTTGTATTTTTAGTAGAGACAGGGTGTCACCATGTTGGCCAGGATGGTCTCAATCTCTTGACCTCGTGATCCACCCACCTCGGCCTCCCAAAGTGCTGAGATTACAGGCGTGAGCCACTGCACCCAGCCTGGCAGAAGAAATTTTTAAGCAGCAAAGCATTCAAGACGTGGTCTGGCTGTTCCTCACAGCATACAGTCATATGTGTTCACAAACAGATGGTCCGAAATCGGAACTTATGTTTAAGAGGGAAACAGAGCATAAAAGTTTGGAAAATTTGCAGCCTGACTATGTAGTTGAAAACAAAAAGAGCCATTTTTTGGGGACAAATTCAAGCTGGCTGCAGAAATTTGCATAATTAAAGACAAGCCAAATGTTAATAGCCAAGACAATAGGGGTGATGTCTCCAGGGCATGTAAGAGACCTTTGCAGCAGCCCATCTAATTACAGGCCTGGAGACCTAGGAGGGAAAAATGGTTTTGTGGGCCAGATCCAGGGCCCTGCTGCTCTGCACACCTTCAGGACATGATGCCACATGTATACCATGGTATACTACTCAGCCATTAAAAAGGAACAAAATAACAGCATTCACAGCAACCTGGATGGAGTTGGAGAGCATTATTCTAAGTGAACTAACTTAGGAATGGAAAACCAATTGTGGTATGCTCTCACTTATAAGTGGGAGCTAAGCTATGAGGATGCAAAAGCATAAGAACAATACAGTGGACTTTGGGGACTTGTGGGGAAAGGCGGAGGCAGGGGTGAGGGGTAAAAGATTACACATGGGGTACAGTGTACACTGCTCAGGTAATGGGTGCCCCAAAATCTCAGAAATCACCGCTAAAGAACTTATCCATGTGACAAAAACCACCTGTTCCCCAAAAACTACTGAAATAAAATTGGAATGAGAGCCTTTTTCAAGTGCTGTTACATATCAAACTTATAATGGCCAGAGTTGACAGAGCATTTACCTGTCACAATGCTAAACACCTG